ACAGAGACAAATAGGAGGAATTAAAAATGTTTTATTTCCCTTAAAGTACCATGAACTCCAGGCACTATGGCTCATTGATGAGTAATCAAAAGATACACTAATATGGTTTGTTATATTAGAAGAAAACTGAAAACATTTCACAATTTTGAGAAAAATAATGTAAGTACATCAAAATAAGCAGAAACAATACCTAAATACAATTTGTGTGTTATTTCGGGTGTAAAGCTAGCCGTGCGGGAGCCGGACGGCACGAAAATCAGACCCGCTCGCCTCATCACTACAGTTGCCAGCTCTCCATCCCTTTTCTTTGGGGGATAAGTTTGAGTGTAAAGCTCATACTGGTTTAGAACTCAACATATAACCAAGGTCTCTGACTCTTAATAACTTCTGCTTCAACCTCCCAACTGCTGGGATTATAGGCATGTGCCCATGATACCTGGCCTTTTTTCCTTGAGGAGCAGGGTGCTAACTATGGAGTCTTGACTGGCCTGAAGCTCACTATGAGACTAGATTTGAACTCAAGAGACTTCCCTGCCTCTGCCTCCGAAGTGTTGGAATTAAAGGTGTGTCATCATGTCGGCATTTTGCCAGTTTTTAATCAGGTTGTTTTGTTGTTGAGTTCTAAGACTTCTTTGTGTATTTGGGTTACAAGTCCTTTCTTTAACAGCAAACTATTTTTGTCTTTGATATTTCCATTTTCAAAATTTACTTTAAAATTTTCTGTTTTATATATTTTTTAATTCTCTATCTCAGTCATGCCTGCTTTTATGCTAAATATCCTACCTGTCTGAGTTTATTTTTCTAACTTTATGTTTCAAAAGCTTGATCCCATTTCACCTCGTTATTTTTTTTATAATAAATACACTTAAAACTGAACATTTTCATGTACCTTTTCTTTTCTCTTCAGACACATCTCATATCTTTATGTATTCTCATTTACTTCCAATTATTTTGGTACATGGACAGTCAACAGTTGAACACAGTGGCTCGCCTTGGTAATCTCAACACTGAAGAGGATGTGGCAGGAGAACTGTATGAGTTTGAGGACCACCTAGGTATACAGTGAGTTCCTGGACAGTCTGGTGTACACGAACAATGCCAACCCTTGTCCCAAAAGAAAAAAAAGTTTAAAAAAAAAAAAAACATGTACCTCCCCCAAATTTCACAAGAATAGTTAATAGTTAATAATGTTAGTGAGAGAAATAAGGCAACTAATAGTTCCCATAAAACCGAGTAACGTTATAAAGAGAATAGCTCACAGTTTGGGGGTGGGGGGGCACCACTCAAGACAGCTAAAGACCAGAAAAGATAAAGAAAAATGACTCAATTTAAAAATAATGTTCAGATGTAGTGGGTCACACCTGTATTCCCCATTACACAGGAAGATTCCTGTAAGTTTCAGCCCAGTCTGGACATATAGCAAGTCCAGGCCAGTCAAGTATATATTCAGTGACAAATGGTCTTTGGGGACTAGGGAAGCAGCCCAAGATGGTGATGTGTATCCATAAAACCAGCACTCAGAAATGTAGGCAGGATCACAAGGCCAGAAGGGGCTGCATGAGACCCACTACAATGAGATGGCTCAGAAGTTTAAAAAATGCTTGCTGCCATATATGATGAAATGAGTTAGATCCCAGGGACTTACATAAGAGAAAAATGAACACGAGTAGCTGTCCTCTGACCTCTACATGTCATACATTAATATACAGACACACATAAATGACTGCCCCCCAAAAAAGACTTTTTTTAAAGAATCAAGAAATCAGGGATAGAGAAACAGCACTAGCTACTGCTTACCAAAAATATAAATTATCATCAACTTATCAAGCTGAGTGGGAAAGAGTAAAGGATAAAGAACAAATATGTGCTTTTATCATACAGAAAAAGGATACAGACATTGTACCCATATATAAGTATCATTTTATGACTGTGTATAAAAACTATTAGGAAAGCTGAAACGTCAAACATGAACATGCTCAACCCACCTCTTCTCCTCTCCTCTTCCCCCTTTTCCCTTCCTTCTATCCCCGCCCCCACACTGCCAAATTTGTCAGGCGATCTTGTCTGTTTCCAGTTTCCAGGTGGGCCTATATATGTTTTTCTTTGGGTTCACCTTGTTACTTAGCTTCTCTGGGATCATGAACTATGAGCTCAATGACCTTTGTTTATATCTAGTATCCACTTATGAGTGAGTACATACCATATTCATCTTTTTGGGTCTGGGTTACTTCACTCAGGATAGTGTTTTCTAATTACATCCATTTGCATGCAAAATTCAAGATGTCACTGTTTATTACTGCTGAGTAGTAGTACTCTAATGTGTAAATGTGCCACAATTTCTTTATCTTCAGATAAGGGGCATCTAAGCTGTTCCCAGGTTCTGGTCATTACAAATAATGCTGCTATGAACATAGCTGAACAAATAATAGTTGAGATGCAGGAAGGACAGATATGAGAGCAAAGACAAAGATATCTTGATTGAGGGAGCCATTATGGGGCTAGCAAGAAACCTGGCTCTAGAAAACTTCCCAGGAATCCACAAGGATGACCCCAGATAAGACCTCAAGCAACAGAGGAGAGGGTTTCGGAACTGGCCTTGCCCTGTAGTCAGACTGATGATTATCTTAAGTATCACCATAGAACCTTCGTCCAACAACAGATGAAAAAAGAGGCTGAGACCCACATCAGAGCACTGGACTGAGCTCCCAAGATTCAGTCAAGAGTGAAAGGAATGAGAATATGAGCAAAGAGGTCAAGATCATGAAGGGTTCATCCACTGAAACAGTTTACCTGAGCTAATGGGAGCTAACCAACTTCAGCTGGACTAGGAAGGAAGAAGCATAGAACCAAACTAGTCCCTTTGAATGTGGTTGACAGTTGTATGGCGGGGGAAGACTGAGGGGCCACTGGCAGTGGCACTGGGATTTATCTTTACTGCATGTACTGGCTATTTTGGATCCTATTCTCTTTGGATGTATACCTTGCTCAGCCTAGATGTAGTAGAGAGGACCTTCGATTTTCTACAAAGTGCCTTACCCTCTCTTAGGATTAAATGGGGTGAATGGGAGGGTGTGTGGAAGGAATGGGAAAAGGGGAGAGTGGGAATTTAAACTGGTATTTTAAAAATAAAAACTAATAAATTAAAAATCACTCCGAACATCCCCCCAAAAAACCATGAACATCAGTAGAGAATAAAAGAAAACCAACCCAGGCAGTGGTGGCACACACCTTTAATCCCAGCACTCGGGAGGCAGAGGCAGGCGGATCTCTGTGAGTTCGAGGACAGCCTAGTCTACAAGAGCGAGCTCCAGGACAAGCTCCAAAGCCACAGAGAAAAAAAAAAAGCCAAAATAAGAAAGAAAACCAATGATGTCAACAAAATAAACAAACAAAAATATGGTAGAGTACAACTTAAAATAGAAGTCGCAAAATCTAAACAGAAATTATAAAACAGGAATATATATATTTAGAGCTTTTAAATTTCTTTAAAAGTTACCTTTATTTTGTTTAGAAAAGTTGTATTTAAAAACAAATAATCAATGAAGGGTGAATATTCAGAATTATAAAATACATAAAATGCTTTAAAATGAAACATAACAGTAATAACAAAGTATAGTATTTAAGTGGAAAATGTTTTCAGCAGTGTTACAAAAGAAAACTCAAGACTATAATGCAAATTGAAAACTTTTTCTTGAAAGTTATCATAAAATAAACCTCAAAGTAAGTGACAATAAAATTAAGAAACACCACTGACAAAAGATAGCAAGACACATTTGGGGGGTGAGGAGGTCAGAATAGTTAAGTATTTATCCTTCACAAGCTCAGGGAAAATTAAATGCAATGCACTTAAGACAAGGCTTTAGAGACCAACAAATAAGTTCAAGTCTTTGTTATAAAACTAAGCTGAATAACTTAAGATTCAAAACAAATTTCCACATCAAGTAAGTGGAGGCAACAGTTTCTCATACTAAAAAAACTATGAGGAGAAAGGGCATGGGGGCTCATGCCTTTAGTCCCATCAGAGACAGAGTCGGGGACAGGAAGATCTGTGTGAGTTTGAGGCCAGTCTTTTCTACATAGTGTTCAAGCTAGCCAGAGCTTCTAAAAACAAAACAAAAAGACAACCAAAAAGCCATCAAAAGAATTAAATCAAATAGTATCTAACAGAAAGTTCTCAATAATTTACTATTAAATTATAACTCATATATAAGGTGTATAAAATGAGTCACATTTCTAATATTACTTAATATGAGACTTACACAGCACTTTGAATATGAAAGTAGAATGGAAAATTTTTCCATTCATTTCTCACAACACTCATCAGTTCCCAACAACAAGCTGCAATTTTTGCAATTAAGATTGCTAATAAAGTTAGTAAGAGTAAAATGAAAACCGTTACCCTGAACAACAGCCCCCAAATACCCAATCTAAGGAACCAAGGAGAAGGTTAATACTGTCAATCTCAATCTCAGTAACTTTTACTCTTTTAAAACTAGATACATTTTGAGAGGCAAACTTTGTAAAACATCCAGAACGGAATCCTGCTCTAAAATCAGAGAACCAAGCAAAGTATCTAGTTTGACAGCTAGAAAGCCTAACCAACTTCATTTTTGTTTTTTTTCTGAATAAATGTCATTTATATTCCTAATATAGATTTAAAATTCATGAATAAATCCTTAGTGACTAATAAGAAATATCTTATGTGTTCCAAGAACATTAGTAAATGCTTTTTTAAATCTACTTTTAGTTTTAATATTCAAGAAGATATATCAAATAAGCTGAAGTAAAGTTTTCTATTTCATTTCCAAAACAAAGCAGAATTTAACCTGAATTTCCTAGCACTAACCTGACTGCAAATTTTTCAATACAGGAAACAACAGCAATTACAACTTACACATTGGTTTGTTCACTATTATAAAAATCAATTTTTGCTTAAAATTCAGTTCAATGGGCTTTCTTTGTTACTTTTAAGTACAAAGCTAACAATACAAGTTCCTTACCTTTCCATTAGCTTCTCTTTATCCCAATTGAAGTGGCTAAGGAGTATTCTCGTGATAGTTGCTGGATTCTGAAGAAGAAGGGAAAAAAACATTTTGAAGTAATTGTATCTCACTGATCTTTTTTTGTATGTGTGTGCTTTTCTGTGTAATTCAGGCTGGCCTTCAATTCATACTTCTCTTGCTTAAGCATCGTAGGTGCTGGGATTACAAGAATGCACCAAACCCAGCTCTTTCACAGACATGTAAGAACTTCTACGCTAAATTTCAAGTTCCCTAATAATACAACCAAACTTCCTATCCTAATATATTTCTTTTATGTACCATTGCTGAAAGCACAAAAGCACTGCTGTACCAAGTCCCACCCACAATACCCTTTTCCTAGATAAACATGTCCCCAAGGAGATATAAATTTTTAGTTGTATGATCAAGATTATTTAAATAGTTTTCCATATAATACGGTTCAAAATAAGCCAAAAAGAAAAATGATGACAAGTAATTATTGTAGTAAGCTAATTAAAGTCACCTACACCTATAACCTCACCTGAGGAAAGAAAGAATGAGCCAGGCAGTGGTGGTGCACATCTCCTGAGTGCTGCGGATGCAGAGGCAGGCAGATTTCTGTGAGTTTAAGGCCAGTCAGAGCTGTTACAGAAAAAGAAAGAGAGAAGGAAGGAAGGAAGGAAGGAAGGAAGGAAGGAAGGAAGGAAGGAAGGAAGGAAGGAAGGAAGGAAGGGGGGGACAGAGGGAGAGAAGAAAAAAGGAGGGAGGGAGGGTAGGTGGGAGAGAAAGAAAAGAAGCCAGTCCATACTACATAGCAAGACCCTATCTTGAAAAGCAAACCAAAAATATAAGGCATTGGGTAATTTGTTGCACTGAGTACTTAACAGACTACTGAATCAGCACTCTAAATATAATGAATGAAATCTCTAAGACCAAAGTATTGAATTGTTCAAAGTTATCCAAAGTGTGTTAGACACATTTAACCAAACGAACAAAGTATCTGTACCATGCAATGAAAGACACAGTGTGTACTCCTGGAGTGCTTTCACATTAGGTTATTTATAGAAGGAAAAGTTACAACTCTGAAATCAAAGTTTCCTGTTGTCACAAAAATTCCCTCTTGCCATTAAACTAGCAAGTTTACTACTAGAACACACCACTTTCAAAACTGAAAACATAATGGGGCATGGTGTGCTGGCTCACCTATACTCTTAAAACTTGGGTGGCTAAGGCAGAATTCCTGAGTTCCAAGCTAGTCAGTGCCACAGAATGAGAACCTGTCTCTAAAACAGAAACTCAATAGGGCTTGAGTGATCAGGGAAATTTGATTCATTCAAAGATATGAGCGCTCATGACAGTGCAGGAAACAGAGCTTAAACTCAGATTTGTTCTACTTAGATTTCATATAAAAATTTCTACATCAAAGAGGATTTCAAAAAGTATTTCTGTAGCTTAAAATTTCCTCTCAATATGGTTAATAATGGTATTAGTTAAGTACAGATTTAAAATAATCTAATATGGGGGCTGGGGAGATGGCTCAGTGATTAAGAGCACTGGCTGTTCTTCCAGAGGACCCAGGTTCAATTCTCAGCAACCATGACAGTTCACAACTGTCTATAACTCCAGTTCCAGGGGATCGGACACCCTCACAGACAAATACAGACAAAACACCAATGCACATAAAATAAATAATTTAAAATAATCTAATCTAAAAGTATCATGAAAGGGGCTGGAGAGATGGCTCAGTGGTTAAGAGCATTGCCTGTTCTTCCAAAGATCCTGAGTTCAAATCCCAGCAACCACATGGTGGCTCACAACCATCTGTAATGAGGTCTGGTGCCCTCTTCTGGCCTGCATGCAGAATATTGTATGCATAATAAATAAATAAATATTTAAAAAACATATTTAAAAAAGTATCATGAAAGGTATCTCTAACAATACCATTTGTTGCCAAAAACAAATAAACAAACAAAAAACCACATGCATCATCCCCACCCATTCCCCCAAAAAAGCCAATCATCAAAGTAGTATTCTACGCATCCAGGCATATATTACTAGTCTATCTCTTAGTTCTTATTCAAACATCCTAAGAATCTTCTTTAAAATCATACTCCAGAAAAATATGAATCTCTAAGAGTTAAGATATAAAAAGGAAAATGACTAAACTGATCCTAAATCTTATTATGGAATCAAAATTAAGTCTAATAATAATAACTAGCCTTGCTTGATTATAACTTTATCTCTATGCTAGGTGGTGGAACACGCCTTTAATCCAGCACTTGGGAGGCAGAGGCAGAGGGATCTCTGTGAGTTCCAGGCCAGCCTGGTCTACAAGAGCTAGTTCCAGGACAGGCTCCAAAGCTACAGAGAAGCCCTATCTTTGAAAACAAACAAACAAAAACAAAAAACTTAAGATTCTCTTGCCTTAACCTCCCAAGTGCTAGGATTACAGACATACTATGTCTAACTTTAAAATCTTTATGACTATGAGAAAACTAGAATTAGGTTACAAAATTAATCTCATGCATTGATTAAGTATAAATTCTAAAGTATAATCTAGCTCTATTGCCCCTTCCACTATAACATGTAGCAGAACTGATTCATAACTAACCAGCCATGTCTTAACAGTCTTTATGTTCCCCACTAAAAGGTTATTCAGAACAAGAAGCAGTCAGAATACAAAGAAGCATTAGGAACTTCCTGGAGAACTAAAAAAAGTTCTGTATCTTAACAGTAGGTCCCATCAGTCATGAAGTATATGTTCCAAGATCCCAAGTGGATGGCAGAAACTATAGACAGTAGCAAAATCTACATACAAGTACTGGAATACTTCAACAGTTGATGATATACCCAGGTGGGCTAAGTGAGTAATAGGCAGGGAACACAATAACACTAAAACAGAAAATGGTACTAGGTTGTGGGTTGCTGTGACAGACAGACCTGACTATTTCAGAGATGACTGTTGAACTTTGGCTTGTCTTGGGGTTTCTCTTTCTGTGATGAAATACCAGGACCAAAAACAAATAAGGAAGAGAAGGATTTATGTCATCTTACAGCTTAGCTTACAGTCCATCATCTGGAGATGGCAAAGGTGTTCAAGACAGGAAACTAGAGGCAGGAACTGATGCACAGGTCACAGAGGAACATTGCTTACTAGCTTGTCCACCATGGCTTGTTCAGTCTACTTTCCTATTGCATCCAGAACCACCAATCCAGGAGAGGTGCCACCCACAAGTGAGCTGGGCCCTCCCATATCAATCAATCAATCAATCAATCAATCAATCAAATGTACCACTTGCCCATATGGCAATGTGGAGGTGCATTTTCCAGTTGAGGTTTCTCTTCCTAAATGACACTAAGTTTGTCAACTTAAAATGACATAAAACTAGCCAGGACAACCTGGAAAAGCCACCAACTACTCAGAACTCAACAGTCTGCTCTGCGAGAGCTTATAAGAATGCTGAGGGGAAAAAACAAACAAACAAACAAATAAATAAATAAATAAATAAATAAATAAAAGAATGCTGAGGGCTATGCAGATGATAGAAACCTCACCCTTGAAGTTTCAGAAAATGTTTGGGGAGTCCCTTAAGGAGTACTGGAGTTCAGCTTGGTGGCACAAGCCTTTAATCCCAGCACTCAGGAGACAGAGGCTAGGGCTATTGGATATCTATGTCTGAGGTCAGTATGGTCTACATGGCAAGTTCCAAAACACGTAGAACTGCATGGAAAGACCCTGACTCTATCGGGACCATATGATATTTTTAATTAAGTATCTGTGCTTCTGGTCAGCAGGAGCTCAAGAATTGGCTGTGATTAACAGGATACTAGACCACTAAAATGAAACCTTTGCTATGACGACAGAATTAACAATCAGCTGAGACTAAGACACCAACATAACACACAAGCCATGGTCCAAAGAGGGAGAAACATTGATTTTTCCACCTTTAGGATCCTGAAATGGGAGTACTTCATGCTGGCAGTAATGTGTAAGCACTTTCCAGGTATACTGGTTCTGAAAACATAAAGGGATCATGGGGAAATGAGGCTTGCTACCATGCAGCAGAGACCCCAGCATTTTAGAGATACCAGTACCATGAAGCAACCACAAGGATAGCAGAAGCTGTGGAGTAGAGCCAGTCTGAGTCTATGGGGCAAGTTGTGTGTGCTGCCAACAGCAGAGCTGGAGAAATGAAGCCCTTGGGAATTCAAAAGATCATTAGTGAGTCTCCACTGGACTTGGGTTTTGCTTTGATTTTTAACTGTGACCTGATTCTTCCCTCTTGGATAAAGTATTTACTTTTTTCTATTATTATTATTATTATTATTATTATTATTATTATTATTATTATTATTATTTTAAAAGAGCCCATAGTTAAAGAGACTAAAATTTTAGGGAAACTGAATACTTTTGAAAAACTTTGGATGTTTTAAAGAAACTGAATGTTTAAAATATTTGAATTTATTTTTTTATTTATTTATTTATTTATTTTAAAGACAGGGTCTCTATGTATGACCAGGCTGGCCTTTAACTTAGAGCACAAAGATCTCTCTGCCTCTGATAGGATTAAAGGCAAACACTACCTAAAACCAACTATGTGTTTGATTTTTTTTTTAAGGAGTGGGGTTAAATATTGGCATGTTTTATATTGTGATGTTAATGTTAATTAATATGACATCTTGGGGACAAGAAAGGAAAGGTCCTAGTAGAATACTGATTTGTTTGTATGTTAAGCTGACAAGGGATCAATTACTCTAGCTAATTTTATGTCAACTGACAAAAGCTAGTCCTTTGAGAAAAGAGAACTTCAATAGAGAAAATAACCCCCACCACCCCGCCTAGACTGGTCCATGAACAAGTCTGTGCCAAACCTGGTGGATAGATGGTTTTTGTGTAAGCAGTAAACTGAGAATCAAGGAAGAGCAAGTCCGTAAGCAACACTCTGTGGCTTCTGCTCCAGTTCCTGCCTCCAGGTTCCTGCTCCAGTTTCCCTCAGTGGTGAACTTATCAACTGTGAGGTGAGAAAAGTTCAAACACTTTCCTATTCAAATTGCTTTTGGTCATGGT